AAGGGAATGTATGAAAGTATAGTAGTACCAACACTCTTATATGGATGTGAAGCTTGGGTGGTAAATGCAGCAGCGAGGAGACGGTTGGAGGCAGTGGAGATGTCCTGTCTAAGGGCAATGTGTGGTGTAAATATTATGCAGAAAATTCGGAGTGTGGAAATTAGGAGAAGGTGTGGAGTTAATAAAAGCATTAGTCAGAGGGCAGAAGAGGGGTTGTTGAGGTGGTTTGGTCATTTAGAGAGAATGGATCAAAGTAGAATGACATGGAAAGCATATAAATCTATAGGGGAAGGAAAGAGGGGTAGGGGTCGTCCTCGAAAGGGTTGGAAAGAGGGGGTAAAGGAGGTTTTGTGGGTGAGGGGCTTGGACTTCCAGCAAGCGTGCATGAGCGTGTTAGATAGGAATGAATGGAGACGAATGATACTTGGGACCTGACGATCTGTTGGAGTGTGAGCAGGGTAATATTTAGTGAAGGGATTCAGGGAAACCGGTTATTTTCATATAGTCGGACTTGAGTCCTGGAAATGGGAAGTACAATGCCTGCACTTTAAAGGAGGGGTTTGGGATATTGGCAGTTTGGAGGGATATGTTGTGTATCTCTATACGTATATGCTTCTAAACTGTTGTATTCTGAGCACCTCTGCAAAAGCAGTGATAATGTGTGATTGTGGTGAAAGTGTTGAATGATGATGAAAATATTTTCTTTTTGGGGATTTTCTTTCTTTTTTTTTTTTGGTGTCACCCTGCCTCGGTGGGAGACGGCCGACTTGTTGAAAAAAAAAAAAAATTTAGATAAAGGTAGGGAAGTTTTTGCATTTATGGATTTAGAAAAGGCATATGATAGAGTGGATAGGAGAGCAATGTGGCAGATGTTGCAAGTATATGGAACAGATGTTAAGTTACTAAATGCTGTAAAGAGCTTTTATGAAGATAGTGAGGCTCAGGTTAGGGTGTGTAGAAGAGAGGGAGACTACTTCCTGGTAAAAGTAGGTCTTAGACAGGGATGTGTAAGGTCACCATGGTTGTTAAATATATTCATAGAAGGGGTTGTAAAAAAGTAAATGCTAGGGTGTTCGGGAGAGGGGTGGGATTAAATTATGGGGCATCAAATACAAAATGGGAATTGACACAGTTGCTTTTTGCTGATGATACTGTGCAAAGGTTAGGAGTGTGTGTAAAGGTAGAAAGTTGAAAGTGAAAATAGAAAAGAGTAAGGTGATGAGAGTATCAAATGATTTAGATAAAGAAAAATTGAATATCAAATTGGGGAGGAGTAGCATGGAAGAAGTTAATGTTTTCAGATATTTGAGTGTTGACATGTTGGCAGATGGATTTATGAAGGATGAGGTAAGTCACAGAATTGATGAGGGAAAAAAGGCGAGTGGTGCATTGAGGTATATGTGGAGACAAAAAAACGTTATCTATGGAGTCAAAGAAGGGAATGTATGAAAGTATAGTAGTACCAACACTCTTACATGGGTGTGAAGCTTGGGTTGTAAATGCAGTAGCGAGGAGGCAGTTGGAGGCAGTGGAGATGTCGAGTCTACGAACAATGTGTGGTGTAAATAATATGCAGAGAATTTGAAGTGTGGAAATTAGGTGAAGGTGTGGAGTTAATAAAATTATTAGTCAGGGCTGAAGAGGGGTTGTTGAGGTGGTTTGGTCATTTAGAGAGAATGAATCAAAGTAGAATGACATGGAGAGCGTATAAATCTGTAGGGAAAGGAAGGCGGGGTAGGGGTTGTCCTCGAAAAGGTTGGAAGGAAGGGGTAAGGGAGGTTTTGTGGGTGCGGGGTTTGGACTTCCAGAAGGCGTACGTGAGCGTGTTCAATAGAGTGAATGGAGACGAATGGTATTTGGGACCTGACGAGCTGTTGGAGTGTGATCAGGGTAATATTTAGTGAAGGGATTCAGGGAAACCGGTTATTTTTATATAGCCGGACTTGAGTCCTGGAAATGGGAAGTACAATGACTGCACTCTAAAGGAGGGGTTCGTGATATTGGCAGCTTGGAGGGATATGTTGTGTATCTTCATATGTATATGCTTCTAAACTGTTGTATTCTGAGCACTTCTATGAAAACAGTAATTATGTGTGAGTGAGGTGAAAGTATTGAATGATGATGAAAGTATTTTCTTTTTGGAGATTTACTTTATTTTTGGGTCACCCTGCCTTGGTGGGAGACGGCCAACTTGTTAGAAAAAAAACAAAAAAAAACAAAAAATGCTTCAATGTAAACACTTGATCTACACATCCCGTACCCACTCCAAGACCTCCTTGCTCATCTGCAATCCTACATTCTGTCTTACCTCTAATTCTTTTAATTATAACCCTACCGTACACTTTTCCTGGTATACACAGTGAACTTATTCCTCTATAATTTTTACAAACTCTTTTGTCCCCCTTCCCTTTATATAAAGGGACTATACATGCTCTCCACCAATCCCTAGGTACCTTCACGTCTTTCATTTTTTTTTTTTCAACAAGTCGGCCGTCTCCCACCGAGGCAGGGTGACCCAAAAAAACAAAGAAAATCCCCAAAAAGAAAATGCTTTCATCATCATTCAACACTTTCACCACACTCACACATTATGACTGTTTTTGCAAAGGTGCTCAGAATACAACAGTTTAGAAGCATAACGTATAAAGATACACAACATATCCCTCCAAACTGCCAATATCCCAAACCCCTCCTTTAAAGTGCAGGCATTGTACTTCCCATTTCCAGGACTCAAGTCCGACTATAAGAAAATAACCGGTTTCCCTGAATCCCTTCACTAAATATTACCCTGCTCACACTCCAACAGATCGTCAGGTCCCAAGTACAATTCGTCTCCATTAACTCCTAACATGCTCACGCACGCTTGCTGGAAGTCCAAGCCCCTCGCCCACAAAACCTCCTTTACCCCCTCTCTCCATACATTTATTAAACAAAAATACCAACCACTCCAGCACTATATACCCCCCCTGCTTTTAACATTTCTATCATGATCCTGTCAGTTCCACCTGCTTTACCCCCTTTCATTCTACGTAATGCCTCATGCACTTTCCCCAACTCACATCCTGTTCTTCACTCTTAAAAGATGGTACACCTCCCTGGCCAGTGCATGAAATTACCGCCTCCCTTTCTTCGTCGACATTTAAAAGTTCCTTAAAATATTCTCACCATCTATCTAATACCTCCATCTCCCCATCTACTAACTCCCCTACTCAGTTTTTAACTGACAAATCCATTCGTTCCCTAGGCTTTCTTAACTTGTTTAACTCACTCCAAAATTTTTTTCTTATTTTCATTAAAATTTCTTGACAGTGCCTCTCCCACTGTATCATCATCTCTCGTTTTGGACTCTCTCACCACTCTCTTCACCTTTCTTTTACTCTCCATATACTCTATTCTTCTTATAACACTTCTGCTTTGTAAAAACCTCTCATAAGCTAACTTTTTCTCTTTTATCACACCCTTTACTTCATCATTCCACCAATCACTCCTCTTTTCTCCTGCACCCACCCTCCTATAACCACAAACTTCTGCCCCACATTCTAATACTGCATTTTTAAAACTATTCCAACCCTCTTCAACCCCCCCCCCCTCCACTACTCATACTTGCACCAGCCCACCTCTCTGCCAATAGTTGCTTATATCTCACCCAAACTTCCTCCTCCCTTAGTTTATGCACTTTCACCTCCCTCTTACTTGTTGTTGCCATTTTCCTCTTTTCCCATCTACATCTTACTCTAACTGTAGCTACAACTAAATAATGATCCGATATATCAGTTGCCCCTCTATAAATGTGTACATCCTGGAGCCTACCCATCAACCTTTTATCCACCAATACATAATCTAACAAACTACTTTCATTACGTGGTATATCATACCTTGTATATTTATTTATCCTCGTCTTCATAAAATATGTATTACTTATTACCAAACCTCTTTCTACACATAGCTCAATTAACCCTTAAACGGTCCAAACAGATCGACATTCAAATTCGTATTGCTACAAAAGTAGATGTACTTTTTTTTACATATTTTCAAATATAACAAAAAAAAATGTAGATAAAAAGTTTCTTTTTACGCATTTTCAAATGTAAAACAAAAAAGAAGATCTACATTCTTTTACATACTTTCAGATGTTGAAAAAACGTATATATACGTTTGGACCATTTAAGGGTTAAAGGCTCCCCATTTTCATTTACCCCAAATTTACCTACTACTCCTTTATAGTATAATAATAAGGTATGAAAGAACCCCAATGGAAATAAGTCACTCTGACTTATTTTGGTTTATCCTAGGTTCTTTACACATATGCTATGTGTGATAATCTATGTAACTGTATTTTTGTATACCTGAATAAACTTACTTTCTTACTTAATTGCATAGAGGAGACAACTCTTTTAGGAATCCGGTGGAGAACAGATAATAGAATGCATGATTCAACCATCACTGGTTGGAGGCAAACGCAGGAATAAAAGGCAATGAAGCGAAGAACATACTTAACACTAAATAACAAACTAACAGAACCACACACAGTGAGTATCATTGGGCAAGACAGCACAAAAAATCTGAAATGGAGAATGTATCCAAGGCAAAGACATAACTGAAATATGTAAATGCAAAAAGAAATATTGATAAAAATATCACACACATTAGATCCTTTTTCTCCATTGCCATTATATAACCAGCAGAAATACTGTACACAACACTATAAATTCAGTGGTTGGGTGTTCTGAGCCAATAAGTTATATCCACAATGGCCAATGTAGAAGTGTACTTACATTTAATAGTAATTTTTCTTTTAAGCTAATCAACAAACGTACTGATCATCCATCATGTCTACAAAATATAGCATAAGGACCTGCCAAGTGGGGGCCAGTAGGCCTGCAGTAGTGTTCCTCCATTCTTGAATATCTAGAGAAGAACTGCTTACCAAAGAATTATTAAGCCAAAATATGATATAAACACTGCTATGTGAAAAATTTTTTTTTACTAGAAAACATTACCTCCTTTCGAGCAGCAGTTGTGACATCCAGAAGCTTTTTCATGTCACCCAACTGCTTTTGTAGAGACTGTAGCTGCCTCTGTCTTGATAATATTTCATCTGATACCTCAGCAACATTGCTTGCTGTAGAATTCATATTTATCTGAGAAATTTCATCATTGGCATGAATGGAAGTTCTTGGAGTTGCTTCTGAAGTTGTAGAGTGAATTTCTCCAAGTCGTTCGGTAGATGTGCCCTGATTACTGTCTGGTGTCTCAACTGGCACTGTGGAGTTTCTCTGAGATCTTGCTGGACCATCCCCAGAATCTGGTAAAATTATAAGCCTACTGAAGAATAAATGATTAAATTCATGTTGCATAGAACATATGGTCTTTCAGGTGACCAGGCAAATAGATTCTTACAGGCACACATTAACCAGAGTAAAATTACAAGAAACAGGCAAAAAATGTGATGACTGGAAGAAAATTTCAATCACACTATGTTGATAAGGCAGTGCATGGTAACATGAAACGAATTAGTTTCATGTATTATTTTGTTCACTAACTCATACAATGGTAACCTAAGAATAACATCATCTCACCAGCTTGCTGATCATCCTGACTTTGCCGCTGAATTCTACGCAATCTTGCGACTGTATCAACCAGCAATCGTCGCTTTGATGCAAGCTGACCCAGCTTACTGGCCACAGCTGTCTGAGCTTCCTCATCATCTGGGTCCACATTCTGTAGTCACGAAGCAACAGGTTATTAAATAATTTCAGTATGAACCGTTAATCATTAGTTAAAGAAAGTGGAGGAGGAGTAAGCAAATGAAGAATAAAAAGCCACAATACTGTGACTGGAACAATACACAAATAACTTGCACTTAGGAGATAAACTTATGGTAACATTTCGGTTTGATATGGACCTTGAACTAGTCACACAGAGAAGTGCTGCTGCTATACTTAATCCCTGTCCCTTCATGTATACAGCATATTCTGGCTCCTTTCCCGTCGCACTTCTGTGTGTGACTAGTTAATGATGCAAGTTGCACCGAAATGTCTTAAATTTCAGTTTCCTAAGTACAGCAGGGCCCCGCTTTACGGCGTTTCGCTTTATGGCGTTTCGCTTTACGGCGTGCCGCTAATACGGACATTTCAAATTATGACCAAAATTCGCTATACGGCTCCCCCCACCTGTCTTTCTAATACGGTCACAGCGGCCCACCGAGTTTGTTTACATTCTCCCTGAGCACATCTCCTTATTATGTCTGGAAACTTTCCAAAATTTCAAGTGTTTTAAAGTTATTGTATATTTTATATGTATTGTACTTGATAATTAAACTTGTGTACACCTGTACCTAAATAAACTTACACACTGTGCTGGCATGTAGGTACACATTAAAATCACTAAGAGTCTCTCTACTCTTGATGCAATAATAATAATAATAATAATAATAATAATAATAATAATAATAATAATAATAATCTCTTGGGCGCATTAATGTCGCATATTACGTTAATATAGACATTTCCCTTAATCTATATATGACATTTTTTTCAAAATTATATAAGAAACACATGTAACACAAAACATGATACATGCACCCACAGTATAAAAATTTATACATATATATATGAGATGTTTACCAAACGGTTTGTAGAAGTGTCGGAAGAATTACGTTTTCTCTAGCCCGTCACCTGTTACTAGGGATAACTGTAGAAAAATATTCCTTTCGTATGCCTTCACTTTATAGCTATAATTCTGTACTAACTTGAACACAGTGTAAGAGTATTTGTTTCGTGATTTAATTATTATTATAATAATAAAAATATTATAAGGTAAAAGTTTCACAAACTCTTACAAATGTACATGAATGAACTAAAACTGGACACGTATTAATACCGTCTATTTCGCCTGACCGAGTGATCGTCCACAACCTGTTCAGTTTGTTTGTTTACGCTGTCTGAGCTCGGTGTATCATTAAATGTTGTATATTACGTTAATATACACATTTTCATTAATCCATCCGTGATATTTTTTTCAAAATTATAATAAACACGATACATAACATAAATACATAACAACATATGTGTAGAGAACCTAGGATAACCCAAAAAAGTCAGAGTGACTTACTTCCATTGCCTTCACTCAGAGCATCATTTCTTCTCAAAATGATGTTACATGAGAATGGGAGTGTTCTTCTTTATTTATTCTACCGTATCAATGTAGAGACAACCTGTACACAATGTAACTTGTACACAAACCAGACGTGTACACTGTTTACACAACTTACCTTCGTCTGGTTTGTTTACATAACTCTGCGCCTGTCCTCTCTCATGCACTCATTCTTTCTCTCTGGTATGGTAGCCCAGCTGATTACCATACATACCACATTTAATTTTTTACAATAAATACTACTCATCTCACCCTATATTTTAAGGTAAGTAATGAGTGAACTGTATATACATTTTATCGCTCTGGGATGCTTAAATATCATAGAATAGTATGTGTGGGTGGGGTGGCCTGGTATGGTAGCCTGGCTGACTACCATACATACCACACTTGATTTCTTACAATAAATACTACTTGTCTCACCCTAGATTAAGACTATAAATATTTTAAGTAATGAGTGCACTATGTGTGTATTGTACTTTTTTATTGTTTTTTGATGCCTGGTTCTATTGCTAACATAATATATGTTAGTGTAAACTTGTTATCTAGTGTTTGTATGCATTTGTAAGTGGAAAAAAAGGGTGTTCCACTTTACGGCGGTAGCCTGGAACCTAACCCGCCGTATAAGTGGGGCCCTCCTGTATGGGTTACTTGTGCTAGGTAAAGGATTATTCTTGGAAATTATAGAGGAAGACAGTGCAAAAATACTTTGCAGAGGAACAGATCAAACATATAAAACAGTTAACCCTTTCAGAGTCCAAAGGCCAAATTTCCAAGTGTGCACCAGGGTCTAAGAATTTTCGAAAAATAATTTTGTTATTTTTTCTTATGAAATGGTAGAGAATCTTTTTCTGAAGGTAATAAAACAAAAAGTACGAAATTTGATGGAAAATTGACAAAATTATGCTCTCGCGAATTTTGATGCGTCAGCGATATTTACGCATCGGCGATTTTGCCGACTTTGACTCCCATTTTAGGCTAATTATATTACTCCAGTCGACCAAATTCTTAGGTATTTCACTAGTATTACTTCTATTCTATCGATTGAGCACAAGAAATTGCCAAGTCAACTGTTTCAACTACAAAATAAAGTGATCGGAAATTTGTAATTTGGCCAATTTAATGCATAGTTCAAAATACAGTGGTCCCTCAATAATCGTCCGGCCTGAAAGTCGTCCATTTCGGAAATAGCCCTGTTTTTTCGTCAAAATATTGGCTCGCAAATGGTCCGGTAACTCGCTAATAGTCCTAATAGTCCTTCGTCTTGGACGCGTACTCACGCTCTGAGCAGCCTCAGCCTTTCCTTCCCAGCCAGTGTGCCATTGTTTACCAGTGAGTGACGGTCCCCTCACATGCTCCTACGAAATATTTCATAATATTCCATTGATTTTAGTGCTTGCAAGTGCTAAATAAGCTACCATGGCTCCAAATAAAGCTTCTAGTGCCAGCCCTTTGGTAAAGAATGTGAGAAACACATAATTTATGAAAAAGTTTGTAGAAAAATACAAAGATGGTGGTGGTAGAGTGAAAGCAGTTGTGATAGTGGTTGATGAACATAAGAAAGGAGGATCACTGCAGCAGGCCTGTTGGCCCATGCTCGGCAGGTCCTTTACAATTCATCCCACTAACGAAACATTTTCCCAACCCAGTCCTCAATGCTACCCAAGAAATAAGCTCTGATAACTCTATCCACTCATTTGGGACTTGCAAATGAGTGGATAGAGTTATCAGAGCTTATTTCTTGGGTAGCATTGAGGACTGGGTTGGGAAAATGTTTCGTTAGTGGGATGAATTGTAAAGGACCTGCCGAGCATGGGCCAACAGGCCTGCTGCAGTGATCCTCCTTTCTTATGTTCTTATATTCTTATGTTCATCAACCACTATCACAACTGCTTCCACTCTACCACCACCAGCTTTGCATTTTTCTACAAACTTTTTCATAAATTATGTGTTTCTCACATTCTTTACCAAAGGGCTGGCACTAGAAGCTTTCTTTGGTGGTAGTGATGGTGGTAGAAGGTAGTAGTGATGGTGGTAACAGTTGTAATAGTGGTAGAAGGTCGTAGTGATGGTGGTAGAGGGTTCCTTCTTTAGTGATTCACCTCGATTTTAAATAATTATTTTCTCTCGGTTTTTACACAGGAAGACACTAATAATATTCCGGTAATTAATTTTTATAGTGGATCAGAAGAAGATAAATTATGTAACATCACAGTCACTAGTGAAATGGTTATGAAGCAGATAGACCGACTGAAGCAAAATAAGTCACCGGGTCCTGATGAGGTTTTTTCAAGGGTTCTTAAGGAATGCAAAATGGAAGTCTGTGAACCATTAACTAATATTTTTAATTTATCTCTTCAAACAGGTGTAGTGTCTGATATGTGGAAGATGGCTAATGTAATTCCTATTTTTAAAACAGGGGACAAGTCGTTACCGTCAAATTACCGCCCAATAAGCCTGACCTCAATTGTAGGCAAATTACTAGAGTCAATTATAGCTGAGATTATAAGAAGCCACATCGATAAGCATAGCTTGATTAAGGATACTCAGCATGGATTCACAAGAGGCCGGTCTTGTCTAACTAATTTATTAACTTTCTTCAGTAAAGCTTTTGAGGCTGTTGACCACAATAAAGAATTTGATATTATTTACTTAGATTTTAGTAAGGCTTTTGATAGAGTTCCGCACCATAGACTGTTAAAGAAAGTGGCAGCTCATGGCATTGGGGAAAGGGTACTCTCGTGGATCGAATCATGGCTCACAGACAGTGTGTCCATAAATGGGGTTAAATCCGAGTGGGGATCAGTAACAAGTGGCGTTCCACAGGGATCAGTCTTGGGCCCGTTGTTGTTTATAATATATATCAATGATCTTGATGAAGGAATTACTAGTGATATGAGCAAATTCGCCGATGACACGAAGATAGGTAGGATAATTGATTCAAACGTAGATGTTAGGGAACTTCAGGAGGATTTAGACAAACTCTACTCTTGGTCAGAAAAGTGGCAGATGCAGTTCAATGTAGAAAAAATGCAAGGTTCTGAAGCTCGGGAGTGTCCATAACCCTAGCACTTATAAGTTAAATAATGTAGAACTTAGCCATACAGATTGCGAAAAGGACTTGGGGGTTATGGTAAGCAGCAACCTTAAACCAAGACAGCAATGCCTAAGCGTACGTAATAAGGCAAATAGATTACTGGGATTTATATCAAGAAGTGTAAGCAACAGAAGTCCAGAGGTCATACTGCAGCTATATACATCATTAGTAAGGCCTCACCTAGATTATGCAGCTCAATTCTGGTCTCCATATTACAGAATGGACATAAATTCGTTAGAAAACATTCAGCGTAGGATGACTAAATTAATACATAGCATTAGAAATCTTCCTTATGAAGAAAGATTGAAGACTCTTAAGTTACATTCACTTGTTAGACAAAGAATGAGGAGGAGAATGAGGTAATCAGTCCCTGCCTCAGTGCTGGAGGCAATGATGTAGGCAAGCGTAGAAGTGAGGATTTAGTTAGAAAGTTCAGGACAGCTATAGACATGATTAGGAAGAAGGGGGGGCG